CACAGTGTATCAACACTGGTGATAAACAGAACGTTTCACAATGTAACAACACTGGTGATAAACAGAACGTTTCACAGTGTAACAACACTGGTGATAAACAGAACGCTTCACAGTGTAACAACACTGGTGATAAACAGAACGTTTCACGGTGTAACAACACTGGTGATAAACAGAACGCTTCACAGTGTAACAACACTGGTGATAAACAGAACGCTTCACAGTGTAACAACACCGTCTAGTCTTACACTTTGCGCGAAATCCATTACAAACAAACACTGTGAAACGTTCTGTTTATCACAAGCGTTAAAACACTGTGAAACGTTCTCTTTATCACCAGTGTTGTTACACTGTGAAACGTTCTGTTTATCACCAGTGTTGTTACACTGTGAAACGTTCTGTTTATCACCAGTGTTGTTACACTGTGAAGCGTTCTGTTTATCACCAAAAGGCAGCTAGTTATCACCACCCACAGCCAACTCTTGGGCTACACTCTTACCAACGAATAGTGTGATTGATCGTTACATTATAACGCTCCCACGGCTGAAAGGGCGAGCATGTTTGGTGTGACGGGGATTCGAACTCGCGACCCGCAGATTGCGAATCGAGCGACCTAACCACCACGCCATGCCGAGCCGACTTAACAATGTATCTATACTGGACACTGGTGATAAATAGAACGTTTCACAGTGTACTAACACTGGACACTATTGATTAACATTATTTTCCACAGTTTACTAACACTAGACATTGGTTATTAACATAATTTTCCACATTATCTACATTACTTCATATTTTACCTTCTACCCCATCCCTCCTCCACATATACATAAACACACACACACACACACACTAAAAATATTAAATATGGACAAAACAGCTTAATATAACTGATGGAAAGAACAGAACGTTTGTTAAACCCCCCCCCCAAAAAAAAACAGTAATTGTTAATAATTAACCTTTATCGAAAATCTGTCTGTTGCTGACGTAACTTATTTCTAGGTAAGTTTTAAATCGTCACTTTTCTTTCCTTACACTGATTCACATGACTCTACAGCACGTGATACTGCTGCTTTAAAGACGACCTTGCCCGTTACCATATCAGAAGGTACAGCATGTCCTGAATTAAACACATATCTGTGGTCTAACAATCACAAAAGACTGGTTCATATAGATGTCATGATCTAACAACTACTGGGACGTATCGATGTCATGGTCAAATGAAACGCTTGAAATTTATAGTCGTACGATTTCGCTGTCTTTATTTGAGAATGCATGTCACAATGTCTGTAAACCGTGCGTTCTATAACAACAAATATTTAACACTCTCTTAAGTTGTAAATATTCATTTCACTAATCAATTTACATATACGTGTGTCTCCGATGGGACAGCGGTAAGTTTACGAATTTAGAACCTAAAATTTGCTCTGAATCAAAGTAATCTCCGCATAACGTGAGAAATCGTGTCGTATACACTGCATAATATTTAAACATTTTCCATGTAATAAATCGCTCCACTGTGGTTCAGCGGTAAGACTGACGGCTTATAGCGCTAGATATTGGGTTTCGATACCCGCGATGGCCAGACCACAGATGGTCTATTGTGTATCTTTGCGATTAGCAATAATGTAGTTAATTTCATATTAATCTCCACGTGTCCCTCCGATGGGAAAGCGGTAAGTCTACGGATTTAGAACCTAAAATCCGGGGTTCGTTTCCGCACGGTGGATACGGAAGATAGTCCACTGTGGCTTTGCTCTGAAATAAACAAAGTAATCTCCGCATAACGTGAGAGATCATGTCGTATATTTTCGCACGCGGTCGGTTAAACTGTAACGATTTAATTATTAGACTTAACATAAGTTGTTCCAACAACAAGAGACAATCGTTCATGTTTATCTAGTAGGCTGGCTTTAAATTGTATTTCTGGTTTAAGTCTGCTTGAATTGAAGATAAATTGAATTGTTTTCAGCCATTAGTCGATCTCAGGCCCGTCAAGAAACCACGAGAGCGGACATTCCTTCCTTGTGATTATTGTGGAAAGTCGTTTGATCGACCATCTCTCCTCAGGAGACACCTGCGTACACATACAGGTACGTGTTTCCGTACATCAGGCTAACAAAACCTAAATCCCTAAATAAACCAGCTTTTGAGGAATCATAAATCATAAATAAAATTTAAGTGAATAAATGTAGCTTAGATAGATTTGGGGGTTTTACAAGTTTGCTTGTTTGTACATATAATTATTCGATCTTCTTAAGCCTGTTAGAGTTCACCAACTATTTATCTGTACAATGTATCATTATCATTTACTTTACACTAACAAGTATAAGACTAAATTAATATAACTGATGTTGAAGCAGGATGCTATAACTGTCGTTTATAGTAATAAAATATCAACAGATAAGTAAAATACACACCAAATAAATGATACATTGTATCAAAAACTGCAATTTTTGTATGAGGGCAACAAATCAAAAATCAGCAGTACATGACAAAGATCATAAATATACAAAGTGTGATAATTCTTCCTCTAAAGTTACACCTATATTTTTAACGATCGATATGTACGCGATTATATTAACGTTGATGTTAAGTTTTCAACCTCAGTGATCAGATAATAATTTTATATATAATTAAACTGATTTTCATTTATTTAATTATAATTTTCTTCCTTCCTCAGGAGAGAAACCCCATGTTTGTGATGTGTGTGGCAAAGGATTTAGCACGTCCAGCTCTTTGAACACCCATCGTCGTATTCACTCGGGTGAAAAACCCCATCAATGCCCCATATGTGGTAAAAGATTTACTGCCAGTTCAAACCTTTACTACCACCGTATGACACACAGCGCTGTGTGTCATGCGGTGGTAGTAAAGGTTTGAACTTATACACGGTACGGCCTACAAGTAATTATTGTTAACCAATCTGTTTACCTTTAATTATTGTTAACCAATCTGTTTACCTTCCACCGTATGACACACAGC